GGGGGCAATATGCTGACTCTCTGTAAACCGCTTAGAGAGGCCTGAAAGGCCTATGAAGCGGTATATAAGTCTACTGCTAAGTCTACTGCTATTGGCTGTCTCTGTATGTTTTATGAAATGGTTATGTACAACTCTAAAACTTTTTCACTCTAGAAGTTGACTGCTAGCTGCTTAGTTGGGTGCTGTGTTTGCCTGCAGAGGCACACAGCTATACATGAAAACATTTGTATAGACATATTCCCAATGACAACTGCTCACAAACATGCATTCACTTTCAAAAATCATGAGGGAAGTTAACGTTAAAATCTCACTTTCTCAACAGCTATTTTTTTCTATGTCACTATCGGTCTGCATATATTATTATCTCCTCTATTATCTCCTTATCTCACTCACAATTCTCGCACACTTATTTCCTTTAAATTCACCTAGGCTACATTCCTAAAATTAACTGGGAATCAGATTGCTAATTTTGTTATATCTTTAAAAAGGCATGGGTACCCCTGATCTCCAGATGCTATTGAACTATAATTTCCAATATCTACCATACACCCATTTCCTGGCAATTTATTTGATCAATCAAATGGCAAGCTCTACTGTCCTGTGACTTAGTTCAAAGAAACATATACCAAGATATACAGCTTAGCTCAATGTCCACAAAACTTGACAGAAGTACAGTACAAGCTGAGCATTCTGCTTTCAATCTCTGTAAGTCCAAAACTGCTTGATAATGAGATGGACAGCATATACTGTATTTTTGGAGTATGACACACCTTTTTTCCTCAAAAAAGAAGCTGAAATTCTGGGTGCCTCTCTACACCGAATACAGCATTTTTTGCCTTCCAAAACCCCACACCCTTCACAAAAATGGCCGTGCATACCGTTATGGAAGGCTGAGTCAACCCTGAGCCGGTGAGATTTGAACAGCCGAACTACAGAACTGCAGTCAGTAATGTATTTCTGTCTCTCTCTATTTCTCTCTCTCTCTATCCCTTTATCTACCTACCTACCTACTGTATCTCTCTCTCTCTATTTCTCTCTCTATCCCTTTATCTCCCTACCTATGTCCCTACCTACCTGCTTTCTCTCTCCCTACCTACCTACTATATTTCTCTTTCTTTCTCTCCCTCTCTCTCCCTCTACCTCCCTACCTACACACTCTCTATCTCCCTACCTACTGTATTTCTCTATCTCTCAATTTCGCTATTTCTGTCTCTCTCTCCCTCTACCTATCTACCTATCTACCTACCTACGCTCTTTCTCCCTACCTTTCTCCTACCTATTTTTTCTCTCTATATATATCCCTTTATCTACCTACCTACCTACCTAACTACTCTCTCTCTCTCCCTACCTATCTACTGTATTTCTCTCTCTTTTTCTCTATCTACCTACCTACTTTTTTTTAATTTGCCTCTTCAAAACCTTGGTGTGTCTTATACTGCGAAAAATACAGTAAATTTAATAAATAAATAATAATAAGTTGTAGTAAACATTCTTCAACAATGTAGTCATTGTTTTCTGTTTAGTTTTTATTTGATGTATGTCATCAACAACTGCAATTATATGAACTGGGAAGCTCTATACATCTTTTAAATAAATGTTAAGCAGGAAGTGAACCTTGTCTTTTTCTTGCTAATAGAACTGCAACATGACAGTGACTAAGACAATTATCCTTACTTCTGACAGCATAATCTGATGTTTTAATTTAAAAATACATACATTTTTATAGCTTGGAATGCAAATTTACCCTCAGCTTACATCACTAACTTGATCAGGAAAAATAGATACTGTATCTATTAAATACATATTTGCAGTATGCTCATAAATCTGTAGTTTCTAAATTACAGAGGAATACTGGAAGGGCTGACAAATTCACATGGTGGATGGCTAATACTTTAATATTAGATATAGTATTAAGGGTGATGGATGGTTAATATGAAGTATAAATGGATAAAAAATAGGCTTCGATTGTTACACAATAATTCAGGGCAGTGTTTTTCAACCTTTTTTGTGCAAAGGCACACTTTTTTCATGAAAAAAATCACGAGGCACACCACCATTAGAAAATGTTAAAAAAAATTAACTCTGTGCCTATATTGACTATATATAAAGTGTTTTTCCCACGGCACACCTTACACTATGTCACGGCACACTAGTGGTTGAAAAACACTGATTCAGGGGACACTTTTTTCCTATTATGTTTTGTTACAGCCAGAGTGGTAGCATCAAACATAAAGGCCCACCATAAGTTCTATCTCATATTAAGTCCAACAAGCATGCACTCTTTATCCCAAACCTTGGAGAGTGATTTCCATGTTGATCTCACAAATCAGAGATCGGAATACTCCTGCCAGATATTGATTACAGCTTAACTTAGAAAAGATACATTAAACATTTTGAGGTTTTTTTTTTAACTTTTGCATAATGTCAGAGTATGCAAGTAATATTACAGTTAGTTAGTGAGGGCAGGAAACATTGGGGAAATTAAAATAAGCCCTTCAAAAAGTGCTCCTTGCACAATGTTTTCATTCTTCAGTGAGAGCTAAGACCTAATATGACAAGAATTCATATAATCTGATTAAGTTTTTAAAGTTACAAACACTGAAGCCATTTAAACAACACATTTTGATGGGGATAAAGCTGCACCAGAAGGGGAAAACTGCACCACCCCCTTCCCCTACGTTGCTATGCAATTCAAATTTCAGTTTATTACAGCTTACCACAGAATTCCTATGCCTTTTATTTTTTTAATTTAATGATCAGAATGAGTTTTGGACACATATAAGATATTCAATGGTCAATAGGCACATGTAGACTGCTATACAATTCTGTTGGTAGGTAAAGTTCTCGTTGTATATATGATGTACAATAATAAAGGCTATATTATAGGTTAATTCCTTTCCAGCCTCCCAGGAAAGGCCTGTTAAAATAGAGGGGAGCTTTAGCGTTACCCTACCGGGTAGCAAAGCTTTAGAATTAAGTGTTTTTGACGGGCAGAAACAGCATCAGCCCTTTGCCCTGGCCGTCTCCCTCCAAGGGGTCCTTAGCCTGTTGCCCTCCAGATGTGATGGACTACAACTCCCAGCGTTCCCTGCCAAGCATGACCGAAAAAGAGCATCAGGTTGCCTGAACATGAGATCCAACGGGGCTGAGCGCCTGTTCCTTTGCACGTGCCCAGAGGGCTCGCTTGTTTAGCTTCGTCGGGCGCGTTGTAAACACACCCGGGCAGGGCTAATTACACGGCCAGCTCATCACCTCCGCTCAACGGGCACGCTTAAAAGCAGCTGCCTCATCCCGCCCCCGCTGCACCTGCAGCCCTGGCGGACGGCGTTAAGGTTGACGAACCGGCTTCCTCTTTACTCCACTCTCCCCACCCCCGCCCGAGTCCCTTCCCACCCAGCGGGCCGCACCGTTAGCTATGAGCTTGGCGGAAAGCTGCTTGACGAGTTCTGGGATCCTTTCCCACTGGCACTCGGACCGGCACCTCTCGATCTCCGTCTCCAGCCGCGAGCCCCCTTTCTTGGTCGCCATGGCGGGAGCAGGCCCAGCGGGCAACCCCGCAAAGCGGGGACCGGCCGAAGGGAGGGGGCGCGGCAGCTGCGGCACCGTGGCAGCGGGCGCCTTTTCGGCGGCGGAACGAGCCGGGCTGCGGCCCCGGAACGGGAATCGGAGGGGCGCCGAACGCGGTTCGCTGCAGCACCACCTACCGGCAGTCAGAAGGATGAGGCGGGGGGGAGGAGTGGGCGGAGCAAGAGAGAAAACACGGCTGCCGGCATTGTTTGGCGGGAAAGGAGAAAGGCTGGCTAACTTTCGGCCGATTCCGCAGTCATTCAGCTCTTCTTTTGCAGTTGCGTCCCCCGTATATTCATGGGGAAATATGGATAAACGGGTTCCACAGAGCACTCGCACGACTGAACTGCCAAACTTCAAGGATTCTTCCCAGAGTGGAAAAACAACTGATTCTTATTTTTGCAGGGAGATGTAGTGTATCTATAGGAAGTTATCACCCAGCCCTCTTCCAGAAAAATGAAATATCCTAGGAAATATTGAAAAGGCAGAATATTACATTTCCCTGGATGTGAAAAGGAAGAAACATGTTTTAAAGAGAGAATAGCTTCCTGCCCCCACCCACTTTATCAATGGGCCATTAAGAAGGCCAAGGCATTCTCTTTACATAATAAAGACTTCTCCCCTTCAGCTCCAAGGGATGGGATTAAGGCATGATAATATTGGCCCTTTACCCAACTCACCACATGGCATCTGAGAACTCAACCAAACTTGGATTCAAAACACAGCCTAGAGAGTTGCCCCTGCATGGCCCCATGGGAGTCTGACAACAAACAGTATACAAGCTCAAAATCAAAGGCCAGAGAGGGCCTAAACCAGGGACTCAGCATCTCAGCCGGCCCTTCTTTTTTTCTCTACCAACATTGAAACATGTGATCACCTTTTCTGTTCAGGACTCAAGCCATGT